CTGCAAAGATCTGGGGCTATGGCAGGGTCTGGCCCGGGTTTGGATGAAACCTTTCTCTCTTCTGCCCCAACCACATGGTCTGTTGGGCAGTTTACTTTGTGAGAGCTGGGGTGGTCCCCGAGACTTCCCAAGGGTTTGTGTGACAGCCCTGGGGAGGTTTTCTCTAGGCAGGAGCTTAGCTGTGACCTGCTAAGTATGCAGATGAGAGGAGCTCTCTTCAGGCTGCTTTTGAAATGCAAGTCAGCCACTGGGTCTAATTTCTTAATCCTTCACTTGCAGCTAATTATGATGCAGCCTTACTCAGGTTTTCCTTTTTTCCGCCCTTTTCTGTTGGCGTGGGGTGCGGGTGTGATCACCCCGGGAGGGGACAGGCGCCAGGCCTTTGTTAAGGCTCGGTGTCAGTGCCCTGGTTAAATGCAAAGCTTGCGATGGCCAGGCCTTCCCAGTGTGATCCCAGCATGATCCGCTCCCAGCGCTTGCAGCTCAGTGCATTAGCATAGGTGTGTGCGTCCCTCCTGCACAGTTAGTCCCACTGAACCTCCCTAAGGCTCCAAGCACAAACCTGCCCCTTCCAGTCCTGCCGCCCCTGGGCAGAGGGGGTTTGGAGAGGGGCAGGGCTGGCTGGAGGACGTGGAGCGTCTCTGCCTTCGTGAGCAGTTTTCTGGTCGCCTGTAATTTCCCCCAGCCCGCAGAGCAGCATACACCTTTCCAGGGATTAAACCCTGTGCTGTCAGTTTGTGTCTTGCCCGGGATTTCTGCAGGGACAGAGAGCTGGTGATGTGCTGCGGGTGCATAAGGAGTGGGTTGGGCTCTTTGGACTGAAGCATCTGGGAAGATGGGGATGGGAAAGAGATCTTGGGCCTGAGGTCGGGGAGGGATGTGGTCCCACCACGGCTGATTTTCTCGTGCCTCCTTCAGACGCCATGGCAGGTGTTTTGTGGCATCGTCCCGGGCGATTCCCAGGCTCAGCTGTAATCTCCTTCTGAAACTCAAGGATGCGAAGGCATAGTTTCAGTTGCAGGGCTGCATCCTTTTTTCTTGGGGCAGAAGGCAGCCTGCTTTACTGCGGGATTTGGGCTCTGTTTGCCGAGTGATGGCTGGCAGCTTCTCCTGCTGCCGGTGCCAGCATTGGCTCTTGGTGGTTATGTGGCAAAGGCTCCTTTGTCAAACGGGCTGGGACAGGGCCAGCCTGGCGCCGGGCGCGCAGGTCGTGCTCGCCCAGACCTCCAAGAGCTCAGCTTGGCGCCTTCCAGCTGCTGATCGGATTATTTGGGAGCCAGTGAGCGTGCCCGGGTGAAACCTGGAGTACAGTTTCTGCCCTGAAGAATTTATAATCTAAAGTAAAACCAGCATGTGTGTGCAACTCTGAGGTTGTCAAAAATCCCCTTTGCCTGGGGTGGTGGCACAGTGAGAAAGCCCAGCGTGGGAGGGGTTGGATGGCCGGGGTGGGAGCCTTGCTGCCCGGCAGGGTGGGTAAGGCAGACCGGTTCATCGTCTTGCACGAGGTCCCTACGTGCAGCCACCAGCACTTGCCGAGGCATCGGTGTGATGGCTCTCCTGGCTGTGGCTGCGGTGATGGATGTAAATGGTTCCAGTCGGGCTGGTTCTTGCAGTGCCTGTGAGCCGGTGCCCGTGCGGGCTGTGCGCGGGAGCTGGAGGTGTGCCTGGCGGGAGGCTGGGAGAGCCTCTGTCCTGGTGGTCACCGGCTGCTCACGCTGGGGTGTGCCCAGGTGCCCGTGTCTGGTACCCTCCTGGGCAGTCGTGCGAGAGACATTGGGGCATGGGGGGCCAGGAGGGGCTGGGAGCGTGGGCTGCCCGCGGCTGCTCTGTTCTGCTCACCCGCTCTTGTCCCTGCAGCGATGGCGGCCATCAGGAAGAAGCTGGTGATCGTGGGAGACGGTGCCTGTGGAAAGACGTGTCTGCTGATCGTGTTCAGCAAGGATCAGTTCCCCGAGGTCTACGTACCGACTGTGTTCGAGAACTACATTGCTGACATAGAGGTAGATGGGAAGCAGGTAAGGACCGTTGCAGGGTGCTGGAGCTGTTCCTGTCCCCTCGCTCCCATGGACCCGTGCTAGCAGTGCCACCACCCGGCACTGCCGCGTGGGTTGGTCCGCGTGGCTCGGATGCAGCTGCAGCGCTCGGGGTGCCCCACAGCTCCCACGTTTCTGGGTCACCCTGAACCTGCCCCAGTTTGAGGAAAACCGTAGCTATAACTGAGGAAGATAAACCTGCTCTCTTCTGGCCTGCTGAGCTGTCTGCGAGCTGCTGAGCCGCATCCCTCTCCCCTCCCAGGTGGAGCTGGCCCTGTGGGACACAGCGGGACAGGAGGACTACGACAGGCTGCGGCCCCTCTCGTACCCGGACACAGACGTTATCCTCATGTGCTTTTCTATCGACAGCCCGGATAGCCTCGGTAGGGACCAGGGAGCGAGGGGGGACCTGGGGCTCCCGCAGGACTGAGTGCTGCTGCTAAACCCCCTGGGGTCCGGGAAGCCCCCGTGCCGCCCCTCTAGGGGATGCCAATCCCTCCTCTCCATCTCCTGGCTTTGCGTGCGCTCCAGGAAAATGTTGGGAACTTGCTGGCTTGGTGGAGGTGATGGGAGAGGAGGATGCCGTGGAGCAAGCTCCCCTCTTCCTGTGGGAAAAGCCTGGCACCGGTTCCCGCGGCTGCAAGGAGACCTGGGGGGGAGCAGCCCCTCAGCTCAGGGGGGTCTACATGTGCTCGTTGCAGAGAACATCCCCGAGAAGTGGACACCGGAGGTGAAGCATTTCTGCCCCAATGTGCCCATCATCCTGGTGGGGAACAAGAAGGACCTGCGGAATGATGAGCACACGCGGCGGGAGCTGGCAAAGATGAAGCAGGTGGGGGCAGCCCTGCGTCCAGCTGCCTCGGCCAGCGACCCGCCTCTCCCTGTGCCGCCTCACTGGGGCTCCCCTTTGCCGTGCCAGATCCTGGCGCTAAAGGCTGGATGCCCCAAGGGCAGTCACTGTGCTCTTGCTGCTGTTTTCTGGCGATGCTCCTGAACCCCCTTTTTAATGCTTTCTAGGAGCCGGTGAAGCCAGAGGAGGGGAGGGACATGGCCAACAGGATCAACGCCTTCGGCTACCTCGAGTGCTCGGCCAAGACAAAGGAGGGCGTGCGGGAGGTCTTTGAGATGGCCACCCGCGCAGGCCTGCAGGTCCGGAAGAACAAGAAGCGCAGAGGCTGCCCGCTGCTGTGAGCAGCCCGGTGGGCCAGGAGGCAGCTGCCTGTGCCGGCACCCGGCTGCCCTGCGCTGCGCGGGGAGGGAGCGCTCGCAGACGTCCGAAGAGGGACCTTATGGTGCCAGTACCTGCCCCGAACGCTCTGCACGAGAACTGCCACCCAAGCCCATGGGGTGTCCCTGCGTGACCCCGGGGCTGTGAGAGGCCAGTGCCTTCAGTCCCCGCTGCTCGTTATGGGCCGGGCATTTGCGTAGCTCTCCGTGTTGCCCTGTTTTGTACTGATCTCCCTGGTTTCGCCTCTCCCGTGGGGATTGCCGTGGTGTTCGTTCTCCCTCTCCAGCGCTGGGCAGGTGCCGCAGAAGCGGGAGGTGCTGCTGGCTGCTGCCCGCAGCTCACATGCGGGGCCTGCTGGGCCCTTGGGCGCTCTGCCCACTCCCCTCGGCCGTGCGGGCAGCACACACCAGCGTTTTATACAGACTTGCCCAGGGCAGCTTTCAGCCCCGTTCTGTGTGCAGAGCTGGGCTCAGCCGCCTCCCCAGGGAGCTGTGCTCGGCCGCTGCCAGAAGCGCTCTGCTCCCGGGACCTGCACTGGGGCAGCGCCTCTGCCCAGCTCTGCCAGTAACGCCCTCTTCAAGTCTGCATTGGTCATGGACTTAGCACCAGTAAACTGAACTGTGTAATTGGGAGAATAAATGCAAACTGGTATTTCAGTAATTGCATCTCTGCTTGCGTGGCATCCTTCTGCTCTCCTTCATGCCCTTGTGCTTGTCCGGGCGGCTGCCTGCGGGCTGGGTCCACGTGCTGCGGGGTGGGGGCCTTGCTCGGCCCCCAGCCCCTCTTGCTTCAGCCGCTGGTGCAGGATCAGGGCTCATCACCATGTGCTTGGGTAAGACCCTGGGAGCAGCTTATGTGGGAAAGGCCAGGCAGGAGCTCCCCAGCCATACCCAGTCCCTGGTGCAACAGGCGCTGCGGTCACCACTGGAGCCATCCCTCCTCTGTCACTGTCCTGGAGGAGGTCGGGGCAGGGCTGCAGCAAGCCCATCCCGGCAGCCCCAGCTGTGGTGGCAGGGCCCAGGACTGAACATCAATACACTGTTTTTCTCTAAACATTTATTCCAGGGAAACAAAGTGAAGTCTGCCTGTGCAGCTGTGCCAGCTCTCGGGGCTGGCGGGGGGCCCCAGCCATGCTGTGCCTGGCCAGGTCCCTGCCTGCTGCCTGCACCCCAGTCACCCGCTGTGGCAGCAGTGAGCTCCCCTGCGCACCCAGCGATGCTCTTCGGAGGCCAGACTCTCACTTAGGCCATTCATTGAACGGTGAGACCAGTCACAGGGAATTGGCTTTCCACAGCCGTGTCAAAAACTGTTTAAAAAGGAGAGTGGTTCCAGTCCAGCACTGGCACAGTCCCGCTCTGTGAGGGGAGGTGTCTGCCCCAGGTTGCCCTGCGGTCCGTGCTGGGGGTCTTGGCTGGTAGCGAAGGCTGGCAGGACCCCATTGCCCAGCAGGTTCAGCCCTGTCTTCACAGGGATGCATGGTGCACTGAGCACCCCAGGACGGAGGCAGGGGGAAAGCAAGCGGCTGCTGCAGGCCAGGGGCAGGCTGAGGGATGCTGGAGCTCCACAGGGCTTCTCTTCCTTTCCCAGGTGGGTTTCCTGCAGAGAAACCCCATGGCAGAGCCTGCCCCTGCCCCAGGAGGGGACAGGCAGCCCCTAAGCGAGAGCCCGTCCCGAGCCCTGTCACACTTGCTGCAGGAGAAGCCTCTCAGCCCCCCTCGCACACGTGAACCGGTGCCCTGGCTCGGCCCCGGCCACGCTGCTGCCCCAGGGCGCCGGTGCAGCATGGCCGGCTGTGCCACTCGTCACCCTGCTCCTCCCAGGTCTCTGCCAGCAGCTCCCAGCCCTGCTCACCTGGTAGCTAATTGCTGAGGTGCAGTGCGTGGAGGTCGGCGGCGAGGCCATCCTCTGCCGGGCTCTCGTCCTCGTAGGGGTAGCCCGTGTAGCCGCCCTCCTCCCTGCAGTACCTGAGGAACCTGCAGGCACAGGGTGAGGGGAGTGTGGGCAGGAGGTGGCAATGGCCTCGCTGCCTGCAATGGCCTCGCTGCCTCTGTAGCGCTGGGCATGGCCAGGCACTGTCCGTAGGCAGCAGGGAAGGGCGGGCAGGTGCTCACGAGCACCGTCTGCGGAGGGGGTCAGGCGCAGCCGGGCAAGGCTCACCTCTGCCAGTGTTGGTCCTTGCTGAGCACGGCCGGGTTACCCACCACGATCAGCAGAGCCTTGGCCCTGGTGATGGCCACGTTGAGCCTCTGAAAGAACAAGAGCGAGGGCTTTACCCTGCAGCAGCACCTCTCAGCCCCCTGCCCAGCCCCACCTAGGTGCAGGCAGCTCCGGTGCAGCACCAAGCACCCGGAGCAGCTCTGCCTGCCTGCGGGGCACCGGAGGGAAGCAGGGGGTGCTGAGGGAGAGGAGCCTGCTCAGGGCAGCACGGTACCTTGGGGTTCTTGAGGAAGCCCAGCCTGAAGGTCTGGTCGAGCTGGAGGTACTCGCTGCAGCTGCGCACGGTGGAGATGAGGATGACGCGTCGCTCCTGGCCCTGGAACTCCTCCACAGAGCCCACCTGGGGCAGGGACAGCAGGTGAGGGGCCAGGGAGCACCCCCGGGTGGGGGCTGGCGGGGCTCCCTCTGCCCGCGGCTCCCAGGACCGTACCTTCAGCAGGCTGATGTCTGGCAGTGTCCGCAGGACAGGGTCCAGGGAGGTGATGGCTTTCCGGATCTTCTCCACCTGGGGGGAGGCACGCAGCACAGTCCAGCTGCCATGGAGCTGTCCCCGTGTGCCAGCCCCAGGGTTGCCCATCTGTCCCAGTGCCCCCTGTCCCCTGGGGAGGTCTCTGCCCGTCCCCTGCCTGCAGAGCGGTGCCCCTCACCTGCTTCCTGTAGGGAGAGATGATGCCGACCTCCTTGGGCGAGACGCTGGGGCAGCCCCCCTTGCCCCGGCTCTGCAGCAGCTTCTTGAGGTACTGGACCAGCACCTCGATCTCAGCCGTGTTGAAGAATGAGGGGCTCTTGGCCTCTCTCTGGTCTTCTCCGCAAACCCCGTGGAAGATGATGGGGAAGCCCTGGGGATGGACAGTATTGGGCTCTGCTCCACCTGTGGTTCAGGGCTCCCCCCGGGCTCCCACCCTGCTGCCCCCCTCACTTTTTTGGGAAGCTCGTCCCAGGCACAATACAGACTCCGGACGTCGAGCTCGTCACTCTCGCAGGCCTTCAGCTCGCTGTCGTAGAAGAGCTCGTTGGGGATCCTGAGGATGGCCTCGTGGGACCTGGCAGAGGCAGCACAGTGTCCAGGGCGCATGCCGCACGGCCCCAGCACCCTCCCGGGCACCGTGCAGCCAGGACAGCAGGTGCGCTCCCATCTCCCGCACCAGCTGGGGCACTACGAGGCTCTGGGGAGCCGGAGCCCGGGGTGTACGCCCAGACCCTGCACCGAGCCACACCCAGCAGAGCAGCCCCATCCCTGCCTGTGCCCGTCCCCGTGCTGGCCCCGTCCCCACCTGTAGTTCCAGAGCAGTTTGGTGACGAACTGTGGGTTGTATCCTCCACTCGACTTCTTGTACAGGGGGTTGTGGAGCATCAGCCTCTCTAGCAGCGAGGTGCCTGCACCCAGTGAGACCCCATGGCTCCCTGCAAGGCTGCTCGGCCCCCAGGTGCCGGCAGCACTCCCACCCCTCTCCCAGCTCACCCAAGCCATGCTCGATGGCCAGCGGTGACCTCAGGACGGGGCCCAGCTGCTGGGGGTCTCCTGCCAGCACCAGCTGCCCCCCGTTGGGGTTGGTCTTCTGGTCCATGGCAGTCAGGAGCCCTGGGCAGAGGGAGAGCTCAGCAGGGCAGGGGGGGTCCCCGGGCCATGCAGAAACGCTGGTCCCCGAGACGGCAGCCGGCCACCACTCACCTGCGATGGCGACCACGCTCTCTGGCTCTACCGCCTGGCCACACTCATCGATGAAGACGTGGGAGAAAAACCCTGGGGGGAAGTTGGCTGATGCCAGCCTGGGGGAGAGGTGGAGTGAGGCTGCCTCAGCATCCCTGCCCTGGCTGTCCATCCTTCCTCCCCTCACCCTCATCCTCCTGCAGAGGATGGGTCCCTCCTGTTGCCCACCCTCCTCCACACCCCCTCCCCACTGCACCCCAGCGGGGCTGCCCTCACAGCCTGGTTGCAAGGTAGCCCCTGGGTCCACCCACTGTGGGTGGTGGGGACAATCCCAGGTCCTCTGACCTTCCCGCTGTCACCAGCGTGGTGATGAGGATCCGGTAGCGCCCCAGGTGCTCCTTGCTCAGGTACACATAGCAGCTCTGCTCATCGTCCCAGTTGCAGCAGGGCTGAAACACAGGGTGTTTGGTGGGATCCTGCTCTCCCCGGGGGCTGCCAGCCCAGATGTGCTGTGGGGTGCCGGGACGGAGGGGCAGGGACCTACCCTGATATCAGCAGGTACCTCCTGGTAGTTCCTGGAGCTGGCGATGAGCCTGTAGACATACCGGGGGGCGATGTCCTTGATGAGGCGCTGACACAGCAGGTCTGTGGCACTGTTGGAAGGGGCACAGGCCAAGATCCGGGCATCCTTGAAGCATGTCCATACCTAGGTGGGAGGAGGGGGCAACGGCACTGAGCCCCATGGGCCGGGGTGGGCAGCGATGCCCAGGGCTGGACCTGGGCACCAGCCACTCACCTGCTTGATGGCTTCCACCACGGTGACTGTCTTGCCAGTCCCAGGGGGGCCGAAGATGAGGTATGGAGCTGGTCTGGACATCCCCGTCACGATGTGCGTCACGGCTCTGCACTGCCCCTCGTTCGCCAGCAGCTTGCGGTCGAACCACCTGCGGGAGCAGAGGCTGAACAGGCCAGTCCCCATCCTCGCCTGTCCCTTCCCACCCTGCAGGCATGGGGACTCACCGGGGCTGGAAGGTGCCTGTGAAGAGGGACTTCTGGCACGAGGCGGAGGGGAAGAGGAGGCTGGACAAGCCGCGCTGCATGGCCAGGGCTGCAGCCCGATGCGGGACCCGCAGCGGCAGCCGGCTGAAGGTGAAGGTCACGTCAAACCTCAGGTTGTTCACAAACTTCTTCTGCAGCCTGTGAAGGAGCAGTGTGAGCAGGGCACAGGGATGCTCCCCCACGCCCTCTCCGGCCCTTTCCAGCCCGCGCCTGGCCTTCAGCACGTCCGAGCGGGACTGCCAGTCCGGCTGGGGCCAGACACCACTCACTTGGAGGAGAAGCCCAGCCTGACCTTCTCCAGCTCCACACCATGCACATAGCCCTTGTACTGGACGAGCGGGGAGCAGTCTCGCTCACTGCTCAGGTGGGCAAAGAGGTGGTCCCCCTTCAGTACGGATGGGCGGTTCTCGGCCACGCCAGGCACCTGTGCTGAACGGCCAGCGTGATGCCGGGGACCCCGGGGGCCCCGGCCCCCCTCCC